GCCCTGGGAGAAGCCTCAGGCTTTGCGGTCCGAAAGCTGAGCGGGCTTTGTCGGGGGCGTGGGGCGCGGGCACGGGCGCCGGCGGAGAGGGAAGGGTGCGGAGGTGTCCCCTCGCAGGCGGCGGGTAGGCGGTGTCCCGGGTGAGTGGTGTGAGGGTTTGTGTCCCGCAGGTGATGCGAGGATGACCATGGCCCAGGCTGGAGCCGTAGTTGCAGCTGCCACGGGACTCCTTGTCTTTCTCCTGTACTCCTCCATCCACAAGGTTGAGGAGGGGCACCTGGCTGTGTATTACAGGTACTGTTACCTACTAGCGCTTCGACAGCTCCTGTAGCCTTCCCTTCAACTGGGATTTGTCCCTGTCCCTGGAGCACTTCGGGAGCTGATTGCTCCCTGCTGTGCTTCCCTCTGGGTTTTGCCCCAAGGGGGCAGACCACATTGTTTCTGCTCTCCTGAACCGGGAATTACAGGGGGGCTTGGCAGCCTGACTCTGTGCAGCACCGTTGGGATTTTCAGTCTTTCTGAATCCTCAGCGATTTTTTCTTCTTCCCTTTTTTTGGCTTACAATTTCAAAGCTTAGAGGATGAGAGCTCTTGATCCATACAGTCTTTTCATATCTGTTGATCTCTCCCTGTTACGCTGAGGGCTGTCACCTCTGTCTCAAGACTGCCGACCAGCCACAGTACCTGTTTTGGCGTTGCTTTGAAGTGGGTCCTCCTGGCTTTGGGCTGAATTTCAGCTGGGGCTCATAGATGCCCTCAGTAGCATCTATAGAGCAACTCATTGTCAGTCTGTAACAGTGAGTGGTCACAGTCACTAAATGCTGCCTCTTGACTAAATTTTGCTTTAAATTTGAATGAAAGAACAGAGAAAATCAACACCAGCCTTTTTTGTATTTTTTGCTGTTTCTGCTACATTTCAATATTGTATTTTCTACCCTTTGCACTCACCACCACGGGCCAGTTTCCTTTCCACTGCTTTTCCCTTTTAATTCTAAGTGTGTTGCACAGCTCTGGCTCTGGGATGCTGCAGGAGTCCTTACTGCAACTATGAGGATCAATGCCTTAGAGCTCTCTTCTGTTTCTTGTCTTCTAACCACCTGCCTGTTCCTGCAAGAACCTGCAGGTTTTCTTTTGTGCTTTGGGCGAGGGACTGTGCTGAAAGCCTTGTGGAAATCCAAACTGGCAGTATTGCACCAACTGCTAGATTTTTCCATGGTTACCAGCGAACTATTTGGAGAGGAAAATCCATATTCTTGAAGGTTTCTGCAGTGATGGAAGAATTTTAACACTATCTGCCTTCTGTAGAAGTTAATTGTTCACAGGACTAAAGCAAATGGTTGTTGAGCTGCACCAGGCAAGTATGGTGCACAGTCAGCCCGTCTGTAGAGTGCAGGTCTGGTGCAGGTGAGTGTTGTCATCTGCAGTGCCACAGCTGTGACCCCTGGCAGTTTGAAAGTACTCACTCTCCAACAGGCTATTTTCCAGTTGCTGGAGGCTTTTTCCCATTTCCCTCTCTCTCTCTGTAGAGGTGGCGCGCTGTTGACTAGTCCCAGCGGACCAGGCTACCACATCATGCTCCCGTTCATTACCACCTTCAAATCCGTGCAGGTTAGTATCCTCTGCTCTTGGAAGGAGCCAGTCTGTGCCTGTGGCCCTAATCGGTTCCCAGGAGAGCTGTAGGCCTGAGTGCTGAAGGAGCTGGGAGCAGGGAAATGACCACGGCTGCCTTTCTGCCTTCCAAAAGGCAAGCTGAAAAGAAGACTGTCTTCTGCCCTCATCTGCAGAAGTTGGGGGGGTTGGGGGGTGGAAGTAGAGGACATGGCTTTGGCTCCATGTTCCCTTGTAGTGGTTGTGAGAGTGTGAGCACATCATGATCTTCCTGGAACTGAGTGGTTTTGTGAGTACTGGTTGTCTTTTTATTTCAGACCACGCTGCAGACTGATGAAGTGAAAAATGTGCCTTGTGGGACAAGGTATGATTTTCCTTTGTACTTCTTCTGGTGGTGAGCAGATGAACTCTGTCGTGTAGTTTGCAGCTAGTCACAGCCTCTGTGACAGAGAGGCTGAAAAGTAAAGGCACGTACCCCTAAAGTCAGTCCCAAACATCCACACGTACATCATGCTTGGAAATAACAGAGCAGGAGGTGTGGGAGGAAGTGTTCTTGCTTTCACTGGAATTGATGTTTTGAGGGTATCTGCATTTATAGTGATTATCTCAGTTTTTCTGGATTTCTTCCCTTGCGTTCCCTGATAGTGCATTGCTTGTGCTCTGGACTGCCTTCTGCTTTGCAGTATTTCTGGCTGGAACCTCTTGACTAATGTGAGTGTCAACCCCAGCAGTGGGTAAAAGTAAATGGTGAATGGGAATCCTGATTGGGAGATGGTTCACTTCAAAAACAGCTCAAGAAATTGAGTCTCCTGGAATAACTCGGGCATTTTTTGAATTGACATTTCACCTGATGTGAAGAGTGAGAAAGAATAAGGAAAAGTCCTGTGCAGCAGTAGCACCTGCTGGCTTTGTAATTGGCTTTGTAAAAAAAGCTGATCCTTTTGTCAGCACAGATGTGTGTAGTTTTAACAAGCAGAGCAGCACCAGCAGGAGAAGGGTGGTTGTGCTGGGTTGCAGATCCTGTTGCGTTGGTTCATTTGCAAGTTAAAGTGATGGCCAGATCTGTTCCTTCACCATCAAAACAGAACTGGTGATTCTTCTTGCCTTTTAGCTTTAGGGTACCAAACAATATTTCTTTTCTTTTTTTTTTCCAAAGTTCTTATGACTTAATTGATGACACACAACAGCCATCTTGAAATTAAAAGTTGAACTAATTAAAACTAATTAAAATGTGGCAACATTAACAAGGCAGAGTTCATTTTAATTTGATTTGGCTCGTGTTGAAATGAGTTCCTGGAATTATTCCTATAGCAACTCATCAGACATCACTTGGGTTTAAATATTAACATAAAGTTCTTGTGCACCCTAGCTGGTTTTAGTTTTAGATCTTAAACCCATTTCGAGAGCGTCTGTAAGTAACGCTGGTGTTCAGTCCTGCAGCCAGGGCTTTGTTGCCAGATGAAGAGTCTTTAGGTCAAGCAAAAAGTTAGTGCAGGAAGGAGGAGCAAGATTCATTATGTTCTATATCTGGATGTTTTAAATGGCACAGTTAAAAATAAATCATCTCAGCGGAGTTTTAGCTCATAAGTAGCATAAATAAGAGTAATACTTCACCTGCTGGACGTTGTAAACCAACATCACATCTCTGGGCCAGAGGTGGTGTCCTGCAAGCCTTCTCAGCAGACCAAGCAAAGCTGTCTGCTGGGGGTTACCCAACTTAGACACGGTGCCACAGTCAAAATTAAACAGTGCTGCTTTCATCCTGCTTGAGCAGAGATGTTGGACAAGGTGACCTTCAGAGGTCCCTTCCAGTCTTGACCATTCTGTGCATCTGTGATTTAGGAGCTAAATTTCTGTTTACTTCTCTAGAGTTAATTCTCTATGTTTCTGTAATTCTCTACAGTTGGTTCAGTACATTCCTGTTACATTTCAGCATTGCAGGATTCAATAGTTGTGAAGTAAGGGGTAATAAACATGCTTTAAAACCTCAGGCAGCTGGTGGTGCAGTTCTTAGTTAATAATTGAATGCAGCTCAGGCCAAAGGTCCCAGTAGCCCTGTCCATTTTTAAGGTGTTACCGCAGGAGCCTTTACATTTGCTGCATTTGGAATCAAAGTCTGGAGCTGCTCCATTCCGAAGCTTTGCATCCACATTTCCATAATAAAACATCAGCTTATATGTAAGAAATGGATCAAATCTGAAATACCACTATCCCAGTTCCAGCTTCTTTACAAGAATAGGTCCTAACCAGTATATATTTCTGTAATTGTATATTAAACCATCAGATTCTAAAGGCTGGGTTTCTCTTCCACCGTACTCATATTCCTGTCCCATGTGTTCTCATCCACAGTAGGAAGCTTCAGAATGGCTGTGTGGGTGTCCCGTCCCCAATTTTCTGCCTTAACTGTCCCATTTATAGCTTTAAGGGAACATATTAAACACAGATTTTAAAATACTTTGATACCAGATGACTGTTATTTGTAAAACAGCTGTCACCTCAGAGGCAAAAACCATTTAATTACTGCAGGTAGGGCGTATCTGCTCAGAGCTGAGAATTGTCTCTGGTGTGTGATGTTTCTGACTTTGCACAGCAAGAAAATGTATGCACAATTCTTGGAAAGTTCAGCAGTTTCCTCACAGCAGGTCTGCTCATCTCCAAAAACTGATGGAGCATCAGCTCAGTAAACTAGTTTTAGAAAAGCAAAGTATTCCAAAGGACTGACTTGAAGAATGAATCAAGAACTATAGCTCACAAGTGTATTAATTGTGCAATACAATAAATTAGTTTAAAATGGCATGCGTTGCATGGGGGAGCCAGGTAACTAGCATTTTTCTTAGCATGATTCCTTCCAGTTACATTTATAAATATTGCACAGGTTTTTACAACTCCAAGAACCAGTAAAAAACACTAATCAGGACTGTTGTTTAAGTGTTAGATGTTTACTTGCCCAGGTGTGAGGCTGGTCCTGTGCTTGGGCTGCAGGTCGCTGGCAGGAAGGTGAAAAGAGCACTGGAGGAATGCTGTGCTGGGACAGAATCCCTGTTTGTTAGTCAGTCATGTGGAAAAATGTGTCACGAGTATTGCAAGTGGATGTGTTGCATTAATCCCTGTATCTCTAGACAGACCAGATCTGACCTTTAAACCCAGTTTTTACATGCTCTGACTGCCTAACAGGATCTGGTCTTGTTCGTGGTCAGCTTTAGCAGTGAGCATTAAGCCATGACCTTTTTTGACAGCCTCTTTTTCATGGCAGTTTCTCCCTTGTCTTCTCCTGGCCTGTCACAAGCTAAAATCCTGAAATATGTAAGGCTTTCTGAGGTCTACTGAAATGCCTGTTGGTGTAGGCTAGTCTGTTCTAGAACTCCTTGTACACTTTCACCTGGTCCTGGAAAGTCAGGCAGTATTGCTGCCTAATTAATTCCTTAATCTTGATTAGCAGATCCTCTTGTGTTAACTAACTAGGTGGCCTTTGCTAAGTTTGTGCCCCAGTGCTTAAAAGTTCCTCCCCCCATAGCTTTCAGTGTAGTTTTAGCAGTCTGTTGCATCTTCCAGCCTCCCCAGCGGCTGGTGCCTGACAGGGGGTGTGACAGCCCCACCCCATGCCATGCTCCCTGGCCAAGGTGTCTGTGAGGCTGTTTCGGGACTGAGTCCCATTGTCTGACTCAACTCTCTCTGGGGTGCCGTGTCACCACAAGGCTTGTTTTTCAAGGCCCAGGATGGTGTTCTGGGTGGTGGCATGGGGCACTGGGTAGGTTTCCAGCCACCCAGTGGTTGCTTCCACCATTGTGAGGACGTGGTACTTGCCTTGGTGGGTCTGTGGCAGTGTGATGTAGTCAACCTGCCAGGCCTCTCCATGTTTGTATTTCAGCCATTGTCCTCCATACCACTGGGGCTTTAACTGCTTGGCTTGCTTGATGGCAGCACATGTCTCACATTTGTGGATGACCTCTGCAATAGTGTCCATGGTCAAATCCACCCCTTGGCCTCAAGCCCATCTATATGTTGCATCTCTCCCTTTATTAGCCATAAATAATTCACCCTTACACTGCCAGTCCAAGTCCACCTGAGTCACTCAAATCTTGGCAGCCTGATCCACACATTGGTTATTTCAGTGTTCTTCTGTGGCCTGACTCTTGGGTACATGGGCATCCACATGATGTACTTTCACAGCTAGACCCTCTACCCAAGCAGCAATATCCTGCCACAATCCAGCAGCCCAAATGGGTTTATCTCTGCACTGCCAGTTGCTTTTGGGCCCTTGAAATATCCTCTCCTGAGGTAGTCTATGCCAAGGATGCACGGGGCCTCTGGGCCAGTCACAATGGGGTGTTGATGCCACTCCTTCCCAGTCAGGCTCACTTCAGCTCCCCGTACAGCAAGCTGTTGGGGTGCCCCTGTCACCCTGGCAATACAGATGGGTTTGGCCCCACTATAGCTGGGTGGCATCAGGGTGCACTGTGCACCAGTAGTGACTGAAGCTTTGTGGGTTGGACGTGCCAGGCCATCAGATACACACGGTCCAGGAACTCTGATCGTCCCTCTCCTCCACTCGGATGGAGGCAGGGCCCCTCTCATCCTGATCAGCGTCACTCATCTCTTGTGCAAATGACTTTAGGTCACCCTAGGAGATAACTAACTCCTTCTGGACTTGGCTGTCTGAGAGGAGGTCTTGTCTGAAATGATTGCTTCAAGATCAGAGTGTTACACTTCAGGTTAGCTCCTGGATTTACAGCAGCAAGGTCCAGAGAGGCATCCCCACTGCACAACATGAAGTGATGGCTCCAGCAGCTGGGTGGATGGATGGAAAAGGCAATCTAAGTGCTTTGTAGGCTTTGTTCAACCTTTAGCCCTCAGTGGGGAAACAGCTGGCCAGTATCATAGAATTATAGAATGTCTGGGCTGGAAGGGACCTCCAAAGGTCATCTAGTCCAACGCTCCTACCATAAGCAGGGACATCTCCAACTAGATAAGCTACTCAGAGCCTCATCAAGCCTGATCTTGAATGTCTCCAGGGATGGGGCCTCCACCACCTCTCTGGGCAACCTATTCCAGGGCTCTATCACCCTGATATTGAAGAACTTTTTCCTAACGTCTAACCTAAATCTCCCCTTTTCTAGCTTAAAGCCATTACCCTTCGTCCTGTCACTACAAACCCTTGTGAATAGTCCTGAGTGGCATCTGTTTCCTCAAAGCCATTGCTGGACCAACAGCACTGATATAATTCACTTACACCACCACTCTGTCAGCCAATACTGGTTGAGATCCTTGGCAGGGTTGCTGTGGGTGGTGTTGAGTCAGGCAGTGGGCAGTCCTCTCTAGTCTGAGGTGCCAGCCTTTCTTGCTTGTGGTGTGATGAGGGGCTGTGGATGAGTCCTGCAGGAGACAGATTTTCCTGTCTTTTTCCTTTTAACATCCGTGTAAAATTGAAATGCCAAAAGGACCCCAACATAAAGATGTGCAGTGGTGGAGATTCTGGTGGAAGAAGCACACGCACCATTTTGGTTCCTCACCAGGATATCTAGAAGATACTCCCAGATGGTAGCTGGGTAGTAAGGATGGATGGGTAGTAGTCCTGGTACTGATGTCATAAGGTGACTGGAGTAAATCAAGAGGGTAAGGGCAGGTTCAGAAGATCCTGGGGAATACTGTTGGACATAACTGGCAGTGATAAATAGTCAGTTTATTGGATGCAGTGGGACAGCGTGCAGAGCAGATGAGATGGAGGAAGACATGTATAC